AAATGACATAGGCTACTTAGAACCAAGACTTTGTAGCTGGGCCCTTGTATCAGGGTGGCTCTCAGGTCTGAACTACTATCTGGACAGTCCCGAAGCTAGGGGCCTCCTCCCTCTGCTTCGGGGGGCCCAAGACACCTTGACTGTCCCTGGCTTGTGGTCCTCTCCACCGCGGTGAGCCGCCTCCTCCTGAGGGAGAAACCTCCCCCTGAATGGTTGCAGCTTCGGTTCATGCCGTAGGCTGAATGGGACCTCCACAGTGCCTGACCAACCTACTGTATTTCCCTAGTCATCCTTCCTACCACTGTCCTATTACTGTTTCACTTTTATCTTCTCAAACCTCCAACATGTGTTTCTCACTCGTTCTTTGTTTTATTTTACTGAAGAAAAGAGAAGTCACCAGCAAAGACCTTCTACATGTGTTCTCCATCAAATTTACCAGCCTACGTGGCAAATCTACCTCCCGCCTCCCGGCCTCCCTTCTACTCTGCCGGCTCTTGTCGCTGCCTCCCTAGGAGGCCAGGCCCTGCCCTGGGGCAGAGGATCACACCCTCTCACCTACGGATGTCGGATGTCGCCTGCATTATTTGTTTTTCCCTTTCTTCTGAAACTTTTTTTTTTATCCTCACCCGAGGACATTTTTTTTCTATATTTTTGTTCAGATAAAGAGGGAGGGAAAGAGAGAGAGAGAGAGAGAGAGAGAGAGAAACAAAAACATCGAGGTGGAAGGGACACCTTGAGTGTCTGCCACCCGGATGACCAACCAGGGCCGGGGATAAACCACAACCGAGGTACATGCCCTTAGTGGGAACGAAACCGGGTCTCTCTGAACCGCAGGCCGACGCTCTAACCACTGAGCCAAACTGGCCAGGGCCCTATCTTCTGAAACTCTTTGAGCAATTAAAAAATCTTGCTGTAACAAGTCTCCTGTTTTTCCTCAACTGTTTATTTTGAAAAGTTTCAAACTCTCAAAAAAGTTGCAAGACTAATACAATGAGCACTGCATAGCCTTCACCTATATTTCCCATTTAATACTATTTTTTCGCATCATGTTCTCTTTCTATTTTTGCAGAATATTATGTATGCATATAAATGGCAGAATCCTTTGAGAATTCGTTGCAGATGTCGTAGTACTTTACCTTTGAAGACTCCAGCATGTGTCTCCCACGAATGAAGCCTTTTCCTACATAACCACAGTACAATGATCAGAGTCAAGAAACTAAATATTGAAGGATCCTAGAGTTAAAACAGACCTTGTGGATCCTATATTGCCCTACAGCTATAGTCCAAATCTGCTCTCTTTCACTGTGAAACTCTTTTTTTTTTTTTTTTTTTTTTTTACTAATGTTACAAAGTGAGAGGAAGGAAGAGAGAGAGAGAGACACATTGATGAGAGAGAACATCAATTGGCACCTCCTGCATGCCCTCCACTGGGGATTTGGCCCACAACCTGTGCGTGTGCCCTGACCGGGAATCGAACTGGCCACCTCTTGGTGCATGGTCGATGCTCGGCCACTGAGCCACACCGGCCGGGCAGTCACTGTGAAACTCTTTAAAGGAGTCTTCCACGCTCTTTGTCACCTCTTCCTCTTGTACCACCGTCTCCTCAGCTTCAGTAGGGCTCCCTCACACCACCAACAGCTCTTACCCGGGTCGCCAGTGGCGTCTACACTGCCAAAGCCAATGACCGCTTTTCAGTTCTCATCTTACCCCATCAGCATCATTCATCCCACTGGTCACCGCCCTGTCCTTGAACAATGACGTCAGTGGACCCAGACACCATCTCTCTTGGCTTTCTCCCTTCACTGGCTACTCCTTCTCAGTCTCCTTGGTCGATTCCTATCGAACTCCACAACCTCCAGACTTTGTCGGGCTCCACATCGGGGTCTGGTCCTTAGATCTCATCTCATTTCTAATCCACACTGGCTCTTAGGGTTCTTGCCCAGTCTCATGGTTCGAAACACCCTCTATAGACTAATGTTAATTTTCAAATTCATATCTGCAACTCAGCTCTTTCTGTTAATTGCAGTATATCTTATCACCGTCCTAACTCGCCTCCCTTCTTCATTGCCAACTAGGCATCTCAAACTTACCGGGACCGAATATCAACTTGGGACTGCTCCCAACACCCTTAAGCCTGCTGATCAAATCCTCCCCATTTAATTAAATTGTAACTCAATTTTTCTCATTTACTAGGCCCCCAAATTTAGATGTCTTTCATTTAGAGTTTGTAAAAATTTAAATAACAAACACAAGGAAGAATAAGAATTTAAACATAATTCAAATTTATAGAATTTTTTGTTGTTCTGGGATTTATAACTCAAAGAACTTGCTAATTTAAAGTTTATTTTTTAATGGTTTCAAATTTCATTTAGGTCATGAAACTTTCAAGAAAAGTCCAATTTGAGAATCCTTCAGAAGTTTATTCTGTGATGGTCAGAGTGAGCTCTGGCCTCAGAATTGGCTGAATATTTAACATTTGACCTTTGACATTCCTCTGAACTGATTATAGTAGCATGCATATAATATACATGCATATAGTGTATATATACATATACATGAATAAAATGTGCATATATATCCATGCATATATATATGGCATGCATATATACATGTATATATAAACAAAATATGTACATATGTGTATATACACAGATATATATACACAAAAATATTTGCATATTGCATGTGTGCGTGTGCACGCGGCATGCACATCTGCCGACAGACACAAATCAGCAGCGGTGGCCGCCACATCGTCAGGGGCTCCCCCTGGACCCCTGCTCAGCCGCGAGTGGGTTGGATCGACCACATCCTCCAGACCGAGGGAGCGGCACACCTCAAACCCCACGCCGCCCAGCAGCCGCACGAGCAGCACCTGCTGGACATCTTCCTGTTCCTGCTGGTGGCCACCCTGGGCACCGTGTGGCTCTGTGGGGGCTGCTGGGCCTGGTGCCAGGTGGCTGCGTGGGGCCAGAAGCTGAGGGAGGCCTGATGCACGGTGCAGACTTGGAGGGGTGTTTGGGAGCCACTGTTCTTCGTGGACTTCCCTCAGCACAAGTCACCCCTGGTGTCCCCCTCATCTCCACGTGGACCGTGGCACGCACATTGCTTCTTTCTACTTTCTGACTCTGTTTAGAAAGTCTCATGAAGCAATCTCGGGCTTCCTTTTAAAAAAAAATTACACGCCCTGGCCGGTTTGGCTCAGCAGCTGGAGCATTGGCCTGCGGACCAGAGAGTCCCGGGTTCGGTTCCCACCAGGGGCACGTACCGAAAAAAATGAAAAATAAAATAAAATAAGTTATGGTAAAATATATATCACATAAAAGTGACCATTTTAACCATGGTTAAACAATATGCTAAGCACGTACAAACATCACCACCATGCAATTCCAGAACTTTTTTCAGCTTCCCAAACTTAAATCACGCAGCGATTAAACAATAATTCCCCGTTTCCCTGTCCCCGCCCCAAGCCCCTGGGTACCCGGGTTCTACTTCTGTGACTTGAATTTGATCTCGACTCTGGACTTGCCCTCATCCATGGGCCCCTCTATCCAGACTCAGACCTTCACAGCGGCCCTTCCTCCTCCCCCTCTCCCTCGACACAGCGCCCCTCACCCTCCACCTAGGAGACTGCTCCCCCTTCCCGCTTTCTTCTTCTTACGTGTCTGATGACCATGCGGAAGGCATTTCACCAGTTTGTCTGTTGGGGCCTCCCTCTTGCGTCTCCTTTTCATCTCGTTCGAAGCTCAGAAAGCCTGTTCTCTCCCGCAGTGAGGCAGGGACAGCCCCTGCAGGACCCCCGGTCCCTGCCCGAGTCCCTTCCTGCGGAAGCACCTCTCTGCTGGTCCGGCCTGGAGCCTGCCCTGTTCCACAGCTGATGCCGTGTGCCCCACTGGTCACAGGTCCCTACTCCAGGTCCCACTATTAGAGATGAGGTAGCTTCCTCGTCTCCATTCCCTCATCTCCTTGAACATCTGGTGGCTCGGTGAGCCCAACTCCATGCCGGGAGCTTCCTAGTCTTCACCCCACCCCTGAAATCTGGTCTCCAGCGGCCAGTGAGCCAGAGTGACGCCCCATTCTTGTTCCTCCCAGCATCCTCCACAGAACTGGCTTATTACGGTGGGCGCAGACGCAGTGGCATCTACTGTGGTGGGCGCGGACGCAGTGGCATCTACTATGGTGGGCGCGGACGCAGTGGCATCTACTGTGGTGGGCGCGGATGCAGTGGCATCTACTGTGGTGGGCGCGGACGCAGTGGCATCTGTTGTGGTGGGCGCGGACGCAGTGGCATCTCCTGTGGTGGGCGCGGACGCAGTGGCATCTACTGTGGTGGGCGCGGACGCAGTGGCATCTACTGTGGTGGGCGCGGACGCAGTGGCATCTGTTGTGGTGGGCGCGGACGCAGTGGCATCTACTGTGGTGGGCGCGGACGCAGTGGCATCTACTGTGGTGGGCGCGGACGCAGTGGCATCTGTTGTGGTGGGCGCGGACGCAGTGGCATCTACTGTGGTGGGCGCGGACGCAGTGGCATCTACTGTGGCGGGCGCGGACGCAGTGGCATCCTATCAGTGTGCGGATGTGGAGCGGGAGGGAGCACTTCCAGCCACCGGAGCCGTACCTGCCTGCTCTCTGTGCTGTGCTGTTGGAGCATCTGCCCACGGGACGGCAGGAGGGGCTGCCTAAGAGAAGTGAGAGGATTTGCTGACAGTCTGTCATAAAACACCTGAGGCGAGGGCAGAGGGCTTTCTGGAAACCAAACACTGGCCAGCGGAGCCTCCAGCTGGCTTTTCTCGCAGGGCAGACAGGTTGGGCTTTCTCAGTCCCTGGATTTCCTAGCAACGGAACTGTAAACTTGAGAAAAGGCCAGGCCAGGATGGGAAATGACAGCCACCCGAGCCAACCAGGCCGTGAGTCTTCAGCAGTGATCGCAAGCCATCCAGTGGCAGGCAGAGGGCAGACGGGAGGGTGAGGATAGGCAAGAGGGAGGAGGCAAAGGGGCGGGGGGGACCAGTCTTCCCAGATGCAGGAGACAGCGTCCCTAGTTTCAGCTCCAAGCAACTGGTGGTCACAAGTTAGCATTTCAGGTAAATCGATTTTTAAAAATTAATTATGTTGATGCAATCACTTTTGTTTTGTTTCAGCAAAAAACAAAGTTAAAATGGCGGGAAGATAGATGTTACTTTCTAAGAAGAAACCCTAAGGATTGATGAGATTCTTGGCTCCAGTCTAGCGAGGCAAAGCTTAGCACCAGGAAAGGTTTTGTCTTCCTTGGGAGGAGGAGCTGGGACACAGATGTACAATAGTAAACCTCACTCAGGGGGAATGAACACTGCTGCACAGTCACCATGCAGTGGGTGCCCGAGTGTGAGGTGTTGGGTAAACTTCTCTAACTGCTTGTAAGGCCATTGACAAGACCCGGCTTCAGGAAGCTAAATAAGGGAGGGGGGTTGAGAAAGAAGGTGCTGGAAGGGAGGGTCAGGTTGATGTCCTGACATGTCTAGAATGGAGAGGGAAGGAAACATTCCCGGGGATGAGACAGGTCTTGGCTCTGATGAAAACGCAGGGTCAGGAGTCCAGAGGTTCGTAAGGTCACAGCGTCTGTGGGTGGAAGAAGGACTAAACGGCGGAAGGGAACAGGAGGCCGGATTTTGAGCTTTCCGAGGAGACCAGCTTGGGCTGGTGGCAAAATGTAAGGGATGGTCTTGGAAGGGCCCCCAGAGAGAGCGAGCAGGAGGGGCTGGTAGAGTCAAGGCACCCCAGAACCTCGCAGCTCCACGAACGGATTGTCTGGGGGATCTCTGAGGGTGCCCAGATTGATGGAGAACCTTGGGGTGCAGAGCAAGTCTCGGAGGCAGGATTCATAGCCTCGGGGGTTCAGGAAAGGACAGAGACTGGGTCACGATGTGGTGGTGGCCGGGTGCATTCAGAGACTGCGAGGTTCCTTAGTGCTTAGAATTTGGGGTAGGAAGTACCTTTATCCGAGAAGACTGGCAAAGCAGAGTTTCTTATACAAATCCAGGTACCAGATAGGATAAAGACGTTGTGCCAGGCAGCGTGGAGGGTGCGCTTGGTCTCAGGAGTTCCACGCCTCTGTCAGTGACTTGTGGTGACAGGTGCGAAGGAGCAAGGAGTCGGGGTGCTCAGCTTGTGGGGTACACTTTGGTGTCAACTGCTGCTTTAATGTCTTTGATTTATGAATTAAATAAGGCTTCCCCTTACTGAAATGTCCTTGTAAAAGTTTGCTCTTTATTCTAATCTCAGACAGTTCAGTAGAAAGAAAAAGATCAAGGTGCGTGAGAGCAGTTTTCTGTATTTCGGGAACAAACGAGCTGTCGGTGGGAGAAGACAGCACTACGCACGGTGTGTGATAGGAGAGGGGCGCCGGCTGCCTTCTCTCCACCCTCCTCGTGCCCATAGACGTGCACCACCCATGACAGCTCTGGAGTGAGTCCCTTGTACATCCCCAGCCACACGTCCATTGCCACCCAGGATCTGGTTTTTCCTCCGGTCTTGGAATAACTTCTAAATCACATCTTATAGCCGGAAGTGAATCACAGTTTCCCTGCGCACTGAGCAGGGTTTGAGAGGGCGGGGCAGTCGGGGCTGCCAGCTGGGTGGCAGAGCTGGTGTTTCTCTGGGACTCGGGGTGCGCATGGCCTCCGTGGCCCTCTGACCTTGGCAGCAGCTCCTGAAGGGGTCCGCCAGCCTGGCGTCCCGGTGCCTACCAGGTGTGCTCTGGCCGCAGGGCCGTTAATGAGCTCGTGCTAGTTGTTAGGTGTGAATGGTTGGTGGCGACTCGTTTAGAAAACGCGTGTTTTCTGACGTGTTGTGTGCAGCGCACAGAAACCCCTGGGGAGGTGGCCGGCTCCAAGACCCTGCTCAGAAGCTCCGCTCTGCCGCTTCGTCTGAACTGGACAGCCCCTGGGCCTCTGGACCTCGCTTCCTCACTTTGTAGCACAGGAATAGCCACGTTCCTTCTGATATATAGAATCTGTAATTAATAGTAATTTGTAAAACACAGGCCACACCTTTAGCAGAGAGCCCCACAAAGCAAGGGCGTAATGAGTGCTCCTTATTCCAGTTGTTGTCTTCTGTATGGACTGGGGGAAAGGGGGGGGCAAACTGTTTCTAAATAGGACCAGATACCAAATATTCCAGGCCTCATGGGCAAAAGGGGTCTGTTGCGACTATCCAACTTGGCTATTATAGCATAAAGGCAGCCACTGGTACCCATAAATAAATGTGTGTGGCTGTTTTCCAATAAAACTTTATTTATAAAACTAGGGGGACAGGCAAATTTGGCCAATGGGCTGTGGTTGGAAGTCCCCAGGCCTACTTCATGTTAGGTTATGTTGGTCTAAACTCAGAGTACCCTTGACCACTGCCCACAGAAAGGTGGATCTTACTTGCCCTGAGGGATCAGAGGCTGGGAAATGAGAAACCACGCGGGTGCAGACCCCTGCTCCTAGGACCTTCCTAGTTTCCTCCATCAGGGCGATCCTGTTGCTCCAAAAACCCCAGGCTCCAGAGACTTGGTCTCGAAGAGCTCACACTCTTACTTTCCGGAAGAACACGATTTCTTCTGCCAACGCTGGCAGAGACTGCCTACCTACTAGCCAGTCTCCTCTTCCTCATAGAATGGGGAGGATGGCCAAGTTCCCAGCCTAAAATAGGTTGCCTAGTTGTCTTAGTGTGCTCGGGCTGCTGTAACAAAATACACAGATGGAGTGGCTGATAACCAACACAAATTCACTTCTCACAGTTGTGGGGGCTGGAAAGTCTAAGGCCAAGGTACCATCATGATGGGTGAGGGCAGCCTCCTTGTACATAGATGGCATCTTCTTGCTGTGTCCTCATGTAGTTAGCACATACATAGATAGCACCTTCCAAAGGCTCCATCTCCTAATACTATCATCTTTGGGAGTTAGGATTTCCACATATGAATTCTGGGGGGACATAAACATTCAGACAATAGTAGTAGCCTTCTTTGCAGGAGTGGCCAATGCGATTTAAGTGGAAGGGGTTGGGTGGAGTCTCCTGGGAACTATTTAAAAGGGGATGACTCATCTGGGAAGTGTGATCTTGCCCCCACTCCTTTCTCTTTTCTGTTGCCTGGAGTGTGGGTGTGATGGCTGGAGCTGCTATGGTTATTTTGTAACATTAGGCAACTTCGAGGAAGAAAACCATGGTAAGGTAGAAAGATAGTTTCTTGGGACCTTGATGCCTACCTGAATTGCCCTCAGACTTTCCTTTACAGGAGAGGAAAATAAAGCACTCATTTTCAGAGACAACTTGTTTCTGTTACGAGTAGCTCGATATAATTCCCAGCTGATAGGCCGACCCACACTGTTGCCGACACTCTAGCATTGGATTTCTATCCATTGACACTTCTTGATTTTCCTGGAAGTATCAGAGCATGGTGGACGCACATACTTGACTGGATTTCCAAGTGGCTATAAAATAAATGTTCCATAGAGTAATGATCCCAAAAGAAGCATTTTAAGTGACTGTAAAATGTTACAAGGAAGTGATTTCGGTAATTAATGTTGCAAAAGGGCAAATGGTAGTCAGAGGTGTGGCTTTACACCCATCCAATAGTGGAGAAAGAGGCACAGTTGGGATCTGTCCTTTTGGTAGGTTTGAAATCGTTGAGTCAGGGCCTCATGGAATCTGACGAAATGGGGTATTTGAAAATGACCTGGTTGGTTGGTTCTAAGAATATAGTCACAGAAACCAGGGAGTTTGAGATAAGTTTTGTTCTTTTTTTTTTTCTTTTTAAACAAATTCAACTAAAGCTTTGCTTACCTTTGTGTAGTTTAGATATTTTTGTACTCTGCTTCTTCAATCTGGCTGGGTGCCAACCCCGGAATAGATTGTAAGCAGTTTCTTAGTAAAAACCCCAGAGACTCAAGGCAGAGCAGAGGAAGATGGAGACGGAGGAGACAGCAAGGAGGGTGTTACTGAGGCAGCTCCGGCCTCTGGAGAATCCCAGGGAAGCTCATTACGACAAGGACCCCATAACCCTGGGCCTCTGTGTTTTATTAAACCTGGGTTTGGAGCCTATTGTGTTAGTTACATGGGTCTTTGAATGTAATGCTAAGCAGTTCCTCTCTCTTCCACAGCCAAAAATGCCGAGAAACTGAGAGATGTTGATAAAATGCCACCGAGAGAAGAGGTTACAATGGAGTGACTTTACCTTCCTCCCAGTTCTCAGGGGGACTGAGCCTCTCCTCACAGTGGATTGCTAGTTAATTTGCCCAGGCAAAGGGCAGTATCTAGGGCCAACCCAAACACTGCAGGAATAGGCGTTTACCAATTCTAACAGTTAGGACAACAGTGGATAAACAAATAGAAGCTCTGTTTCTCACATGGAAGGAGTGTGACGTTAGGCAGCTGGTTAAACGACTCAGCAGCTCAGAGTTGTTAGGGCTCTAAGTTGGTATCTCTGTGATTTCCTTGGCGCTTCCCTCATATTGCATAAAGGCTGCCGTGGCTCCAGACACTGCATTTTTGTTCAAGGCAGGAAGAGGTAAAGAGATGAGTGAGTACTCCCAAAGGCCTCAGAACTTTCACGTGAATCTTTTGGGCCAGAACTTGTTCCAAATAGCCCCCGACTGAAATTGGAATGTATCAAAGAAAGGAGCTTGGAATGACCTTTGAATCAGCCAGTTGGCAGTATCTGGAAAATCATCTGTAATGAAATTCAACAAAATTAAAACTACCCTGAGGAGGGTAAAGCCTGAAAGGGTCCTTGGTTGTCTTGTTCACACCTGTTGTGTGGCAGATAATAAGTATTCAATAAACCTATATTGAATTTATGGCCAGGACTAGGGTGAGGCAAGGTAGATACCTGGGGCAAACTATTTAAGAAAACACTCAGGCTCAGATTTGAGCAAGTGCAAGGTTGACATGTGCACAGCCCCGAGACTGAGGCCTCCTTAAACATCGTGCCTTAGGCATCTACGTACCAAGCTCTAATTCCAACCCTAGTTGAGTGAATATTATGAAATTTCAGGGTGTATGAAGTAAATACTTTACAAAGATGATATTTATAAAACATTCTTATATTGGGCCATATCATAAA